TCTGCTAGTTTTCAAACTCTTCTATCCCCTAGCCAATAAATACCTTCTGATTCCAATGTTTGAGAAAGCACAGAAAGGCATAAGTTAAAAGACTAAATACAGGAGACTGTAAGGGCATAAAACAAACAAAAAGAAAGAAAAGACAGAAAATCTGTTTAGAAGGCAAAATCTGAGAAGGCCTTAAAATCTCAATCTAAAGAAATACTGAGATTTAGAAAAGCGGAGCAGATGACACAATTTACTCTTGCTGAGGTGGTTGAGTCATGGATTCAAAAACTCTCTAGTAGTTGTCTGGGGAGGCTTTATGGCTTTGAACTGGACATGTAGGCTGCAGAGGAATAATTTCCCACATTCTCCGCCTCTGGAGACAATTTTAGAATCCATAGCTTCAGTGGGAGGATATGGGGGGAAAGCTTGTAGTTAAGAAGTGCTCAAGAGAACTGGCAACAAAGTCATAGTCAGTCTATCTGCATCCACGCTTTCTTTTCTTCAGTTACTAGCCCTTCTATCCACCCATCATTATCTCGATCTATCTGTCCATCATATTTCTCATCTGTCTTAACCTTAGAATTCAGGAATAAGATGCTTGTAATAGGAATACTTATTCACCTGTTGAACTGAATTTTAAAAAGGAAGTCATGCTTTTGTTGTTGTTAGAAGGATAATCTTGATTTTGGAGGATTAGTTGTAAGATGATGAACGACCAATTTCTATAAATCAAACAAGTTAAAACTACATCTCTAATACTTTGGTGAAAACATATTTAAAGCATTTGTGTGTGTGTGTGTGTGTGTGTGTGTGTATTATGAAGACTGGGATTCATAGTCTTTTAAACTATTTCATGGATTAGGAAAAATTCTATATGCAAACTGAAACATGCATAACAGTGATCCTAAAAGATCTTCCAAGGAATGCAGGGAAACATTTAATGAGATAGATCAGCACAGGGGCCACAATAGTGAACTAAAAATACACCAAAGATCATACAGATGGTGCAAGGCCAAACAATATTTTGCTGTACCTAAGGTCACCCATGAGTCAGGGCCAACTTGAAGGTGACTGTTAACTTCGACACCTAAAAGAAAGAAATATCTAAAGACCACTAAGTCAGGTTTCTTAAAGCAGTGGCTGATCTGGCCCAACCTCTTGGTTGAGGAAGCATCCACTTGGGTAGTGGTTTGGCAAGCTGTCTCAGGAGCGAAAGATAGAGGGGGAGGCAAGAGTTTGAATGAAGGTGAAGGCTGAAAGATCAGTGTCAGAACACAGCCTTCAGCAGTTACTGCAGGAGTGGTGAGTGCTGGGCTAACGAGGCCGAGGTTCCAGGTTCAGGCTCAGAAATCAGAGAGCTTGCCTTTGACTGCTAAGATTGCCCTCAGCTGTCTTCCCAAAGTCTGTGCTTGTCACAGAGAAGACCAGCTAAGACCACAAGGTTGTGCCTTGACTGAAGCCCATCATTAAGAATATAAAAAGAGCTTAAGGCTGGTGTTCCAAAGCTGTAAGGTTGAGGGCTAGGTGAGGACAGGAGCTCTTAAAAATGCATCTGTGAAAACTACTTTGAAGACTATTGTGACTAGTATGGGAGCCGAGTTTTCTCATGAGGAAAGTGTCATCTTATCCCATCTCTGGTGGAGTTTTCTAGAGAGCCCAGTGCACCCACTACTCCTTCAGGGAGCTCCCAGAGAGAGTGTCAGTGGAGTGGAGATAGCAATTCCTGAGGAGGAGCCTGCATCTGTGCTGCCCACGCCCAGGAGCAGCTGCTCAGATAAGGCTTTTATCTTTCTAATTTCTGCAAGCAAAATACTTGGGTGGACTCAATGCAAAACAAAACAAGACATAAAAATAAGGGATATTTTTGGCAAGGTAGTTTTTTAAACTCCTCTCGCTTTTTTTTTTAATTCACAGAGGAAAAATAATTGGGACATGTTAAAAAAACATTGATATCTACTTCTACTGTGAAGTGACACTGAAAAGGAGACAGGATTGAGGGTCCATGGGGTGCATTTTAATTAGTCAGAGTACTGTGAAAAGGGAAGGCAGGGTTCTGCATGTACATTTTGTGGAAGGTCTCAGTTTGCTGCAAGCTCCCATATCCTCACTGCTCGCAGGCCTCGGTTGCCATATTCAGCAGCTGTTTCTGGGGTTGGCAAAACTGGCTATGACTTGAGGCTGAGTCAACTCCCTAGATTCAGGGTCAGTGAAGACTGAATCTTAGTTGCCCCAAGGTGACTGTGACTCATGGTGACCCCAGTGCGTCGGCACAGAACTGCTCTTCATGGGGCTTGCATGGTGGTGACATTTCAGAAGCAGGTCGATAGGGCTTGCCTCTGAGGCAACGCTGGGTGGGATAGAATCCCCAACCTTTGGACTAGTAGTTAAGAGTTTAAATTTTTATAACACTCAACAACTCCTCGTAATAATAAAATCTCATAATAACAACCCCATTGAATCAATTAAGTAATGTCTATAAATTATGAGGAGACGGTGAGGTTCAAATAATGTGTTCATGATCACAAGGATGGGACATCAGATCCAAGGCCACACTTTGAACCTTGGGGCTGTGTAGCCTCAGCATTCTTCACGAAAGTGGGAACAATAAGAGCAGCTTGTAGTGGATTTAACAAACCACTTGAATCTTCATCTTGTGAAGATTCAACAAGCCAGTGAGCTGAGTGCTTGTGGCACGCTGACCACCATTTTCATGTGTTTAGTTACCACACGGTTGATGTTGGAATTGTTAATTACAGTGTCTGTTTGCCTTCTTATCGTGCATCAGACATGGTTGTGTGAACTCTCCTCTAATATGTCGCACCTAGCAGGTACCCCCCTCTTATCCATTTTATGAATGAGAAAATTGAGTCCTGGAGTGGTGAAGCAACCTCTCCAAAGCTATCCAAAAGCAGGGCTGGGGTTTGCACCATGGTATCCAATTTGAAATTTTGAAAGCCCAAACTCTATGTAAGCAACACTACTTATAAATGAAAGGGAATACAAAGACCTTAATGAGGTGAAATGGGCTGGAATTGACTATTTTGAGTCAGACAATCATATTTTTACTACACTGTATCAAAAATTGTATTTAAAACCCTGGGAATGACAAATTCAATTGGTATACTGCCACATTCATGATCAAAAAGAGCATTTCAAGATCTATGTTGAAGGACAATAATGTCTGTGATAGAGTAACATCTCTATGGTTACAGGAAGACCAGTTAAATCAACCATTATTTAAATTTAAGGACCATCTACTAAATCCAGTGACATGGAAATTGAAGAATTCTACCAACTTCTCCAGTCTGAAATTGATCAAATATTCTGTGGACGCCATTACAAGATGGCGCCGGACCGCGCCCGCATTGTCAGAGCTGAGCTGTAAACAAGCTTGTTGCGCATGCGCTGCCAGCCGCTCGCTACACATTATCACATTGCACCAATCCTGGTAGGACACGTCACCGAGCAGGGTATTTATACCCGGGGTTTTAGGAGCTTGGGGTCTTCCGCAGCTGACTTCGGGCTCAGAAGCAGCGTCAATAAACTTCGCAGATTGCATCTACCAGAAGGGTCCTGACCATTCTTGTCTCGGTCCGTGCTGCGCCGTATCATCCGCGCGCCACAATATTCAATCAAAGTATTTTGAGAATTATGGGTGACTAGAATGTGAAAGTTGGAAACAAAGAGAATGTGGCAGTTACATAATCTCCTGTCAACTGAAAAGGGGTGGAATCTAGCCTGTCAATCAGGTCACAGCTTGACCTCATTTGGAGGTGCCACAGAAATAACTAGCTCTCTGGAGGTGAGATACACTCACACTCTCTGCTTCGTATTCCTGTTGACAAGCCACATGGAGTTACATTGATGCATCCAGAGCCCTGGAACTGGAGAAGCCACATGGAGACCCATGTCAGTGCTGAGATGCTTTCACCACCACTGGATCCACAAGACTTTCCAGCCACTGGCCTGTGATCTTCCTGCATTCAGCATCATTGCATGGCTGCGTGAGTCTAAAGTGGAATTTATGTATTTACATATGGGGTCATATTGGACTTATGGATTTGATCTGGACTGGGATGTTTTCTTAATATACAATTGCTCTTTGATATAAAATTCTCTCTTACACACATATAATTGCCTTGGATTTTTTTCCCTAGTCAATCCAGACTAACACAGAGTAAGAGTCAGTAATTGAAAAATATATCTTTGGTGAAACAAATTAAGCTGGCGTCCACACGACAGAATTTTGCAAGACCAATGACATCTTCATTGCAAACACCTTTTTCAACAACTTAATTGTGACAACACACTTCACCAGATGGAATACACAGGAATTGAACTGTCTACATCTAATGGGGAAGCTCAATATAGTCAGGCAATGCAAGGTCTGGGATCAACTTTGGAACAGATCATTATTGTTCATAGGCAAGTTTAGGTTTCAGCAGAAAATTAAAACGAGTCCATGAGAGCCAAAATATGCTTTTAGTCTTTCCCACTTGAATTTAGAGATCATACCAAGAATATATTTTACACATTGAACACTAATGATGAAAAACTAGACATGTTTGGAATGACATCAAAAACATCATACATACATCATACATGAAGAAATCAAAAGGTCATTAAAAAGAAAAGATCAAAGTTGATTTCATATGATACGTTGTTGAAACTAAAGCAAAGAGAAGAAATGGTGATGGAAAATATTTAAAGGCAACTCTAGAACACAAAGCAAAGAATTACAATGAAAAGTGCAAAGTCTTGGAGTTAGAAAACTCCAAGAGGAGAGTTCTTCCTCCGAGAGGAAGAACACACTCCGCATATTTTAAGTTGAGAGGACTGAAGAAAAAAATTCAAGCCTTGAGCTAAAATACTGAAGGATTCAAGGGGCAAAATATTGAGCAACACAACAAGCATGAAAAGAAGATGGAAGGAGTAGCTAGAGTCAATGTATTGAAAAGAATTGATCAATATTCAAACATTTCAAGAGGCAGTATATGACTAAGAACTGATGGATCCTTACCTGGCAGGGCAGATTCCATGATCATAAAGGTGGTTTTCCCAGGGCGAGGCTTATCCATTACACTCTGGATGTGCTGACCCCTGCGATTTCCCCAAATGTTGGAAACTCGACTGCGTAATTCGTGGTAGTGGGGGACTGCATTCGCGCTCTCCCTTGTTAAAAAAACAACAACGAACTGATGGTAATAAAGGAAGAAATCCAAACTACACTGAAGGCATTACTTAAAAAGGAAAGCTCCAGGAATCTAGGAAATAGCAATAGGAATGTTTCCAAAAACCTTTGAAGCACTGGAAACACTCACTAGTCTATACAAGACATTCGGAAGATAGCAACCTGGCCAATGGACTGGAAGAGCTCTATGTTTGTGCCCATTCCAAAGGAGGGTGATGCAATAGAATGCAGAAAAATTTGAACAATATCATTAATATCACATATAAGTTAAATTTGCTGAAGACAATGCAACAACAGTTACAGAAATACATTGACAGGGCGCTACCAGTAATGCAAACTGGATTCAGAAGAGGATATGGCGTGAACATTATCATCATTGATGCCAGATGGTTGTTAGCAGAAAGCAAAGAATTCCAGGCAGATGTTTACTTGTGGTTTATTCGTATGCAAATGTATTCAACTGGGTGGATCAAAATAGACTATGGATAAAATTTTGAAGAATGAGAAATCTAGAAAATCATGTGCTCATGTGGAACCTGTACAAGAAGCAGTTCTTTGAACATACAAAGGGAATACCACAGGGTTTAAAATACAGACACATGTGGGCCAGGGTTATATTTCCCCACAATACTTATTCAATCTGAATGCTGAGCAAATCGTCAGAGAAGCTGGTTTATATAACGAAGAACATGGCATCAGGATGGGAGGAAGGCTCATTTACAGCCTGCCATATGCAGGTGACACAGCCTTGCTTGTTGACAGCAAGGAGGGCTTGAAGCCCTTGCTGATGAGACCAAAGACTGAAACTTTCAGTAGGGATGACAACTCAATGAAAACAAAACAAAAATCTCCACTCCTGAAAGAATAGAAAATATCACAACAAAGGGGGCAAATATTGACCTTGTCAAGGATTTAATTTGACTTGGACACACGATCAACGTTCAAGCAAGCAGCAGTCAAGGAATCAAACAATGTAGTCCATTGGACAAAAGGCATCTTTAAAGTATTAAAGAACAAGATGTCACTTTGAGGACTAAGATGTGCCTTTCCCAAGCCATGGCACTTTCAACCATCCGCTGTGCGTGGGAAAGTTGAGCAATGCATAAAGAAGACCTGAAAAGAATTGATTCAGTTGGACTGTGGTGCTGGTGAACAATATTCAAAGAACAACAGGCTGCCAGAAGAACAAGCAAATCTTTCTTGAAAGAGGTGCTGTCCAGAATGCTTCTTAGAAGTGAGGGTGTCAAGAATTTGGCTTAGGTACTTTGGACATAATATTAGGAGAGACCAGTCCCTGTGGAAGGACATCATACTTAGTAAAGTAGATAGTGAAAAAGAGGAAGACCTCAAATGAGATGGATTAGCAGAGTGGGTGGCTGCAACAATGAACCAAACATAACAACTTTAAGAACAGTGTAAGACTAGCCAGTGTTTGTTCTATTATACACAGGGTTGGGATGAGTCATAGCTGATTCAAAGGCACCTAACAATACCACATGGCCAATGATGGAGACCTAGTGGCACTGCAGTTCAAGGTTAGCAGTTCAAACCCACCAGCTGTTTCATGGAAGTAAATATGTCTTCTTCTGTAAAGGTTTACATCCCTGGAAATTTTAGGAGGCAGTTCTACTCTCTGCTCTAGGGTTGCTATGAATTAGAATCACCCCCTTAGCAGTGGGATATGGTTTTTGGTTATATTGGGTTACTATGAGAAAGAGGTACAGCATCAGAAACCCACAGGGCCTGTTCTACTCTGCCCTAGAAGGTTTCTGTGAGTCAGAATTGACTTGACAGAAGTGAGATGAGTCAGCTCACAGCAACAGCAACATGTTTTCCCAGTGACTGATACAGATGGCAGAGCACTGGGCAGCATTTTGTTCAATTGTATATAAGGTTGCCATGAATTAGAGCCAACTCAATGGTAATTAACAATAATGTACTACATGTGCCCTTATTATCTTTGTCATAGGAATTACTGTAAAAGGAAATCAAAAGAAGTAGCTTCACCAAATAGTACTTTCTGATTCATTCTCTCTTTCCTGTTTCTTGAGAGAAGATCTATAGACCTTGGTAGCAGAGAGTTACCAATATTATGCGGTTTTTAAAATTTGTTTGCCTTACAGTTCTGCCTGCTTGTGGGCAGCAAGTTGGGCCTTTCTTGTCTTTGACTCTCAGCACTAAACACTGCAAATGCTTGTAGAACAGAAAAGAAGCTTGCTCACATGTCACCACTACACTAATGTGAAAGTAAGACAGTGCCTTTCCTTGCAATATAAAAATGTCTTCGGTGGCGAAGATGCCCTTTAAGCAAATAACAACCCTATCATTGTGGTGCTGTAATAGGGCAACAGTCAATATGTCTCATAGAATGCCGAATCTCTTTTCTTCTTCATGGTTGGAATTAAATGAGACCTGGAATGAGGAGGGGCCACTGAGCTGGACTGAAAAGATATGAAAGATATAAAAGGTTAAACAACAATAAAAATAATAGCAAGAACAAGAGCAAAAGCAGCACACTGAAGAAAAGCCTACAAAAAGTAGCCCACGGAGAGACAGAGCGGGGCATTACGAAGGTGCTAAGGATCAGGACTTTATTTCCTCCATTACAAGGATCTGAGAAAAACAGGAGAGATGCATGACGCAATTTGCATTTTGGAAAAATCTCTCTTGCTGCTCTGGGGATGATGGATCTACTGAATCTGGTGAGACTGGAGATGGGAGGCTCCGTAGGAAACTATTGCAATAACGCAGTGATGACAAGAGCCGAGTCCTAAGGGAGCTCACCTTGAAGCGTGAGCCCCAAGTGGTTTTCAGGAGCCACTTTCCCAGGCATTGTGAGAACTGGTTCCCTCCACCCACCAACTGCTCCACAGCGCCTGTCCCTCGGCTCGGCATGTAAGAGGAAGGACTAACTCACTGTCAGCCACTGCACACTCGATTTGGACATTAAACTCTTCCAGCAAGCATTTGATAAAGAAGCATGGTAAAGGGAGGCTGACAGGGAGCACAGACCTAACAAATAGAGTGGTGAAAGCCAAGTGCCTCCTCCCTGGAGACTGGAGAGGAGTTGAATGAAGGAGTCGCTTTCAGAAGAGCTCAGGGATAGAAGAGGGATGGGGTGCGTTGTTGCAAATGTGAAAGGGCTCTGCTTGCAGGAAACTCTGCCTGAGGCTAAAGAAGATGGCTGCTGGAAGGGAAAAAGAAACTCAAGGAGGAGCTACAACTCTGAGGGACATGAGGCATTGTTCTAGGCACATTTCTTTTATGGCTGCCCAGCAAGGATAACTCATAAAGTGTAAGAGAAACACAAAAAGTTGTCCAGTGCCAGTGCCTGAACAATACACCCTTTGAAGTGACCAGCCAGGCTGTCAGATGCGAATGGTATCCTGGAGCTAATGGTAACTCCCTTTTTCTGCCAGGACATTGTGAGAGTCACTAGGAGAGAAGTGTGACAAAGATGTTTCCCGATGATCTTTGGCTGTTTCTGCACGCCACCCTCACCCCTCCAATGAAGCTGGAACGCTGCCTCTGGAATCCAGTGGAAAGGGTTACCTCAAATGGGAAGGATTACTACTGCAATGCTCCCGCAGCCACAAAGTGACCGAGCTGCTTAGGAAAGCCAGGGGTGGTTGTCAGGAAGCACCGGCTGGGGGGAAGTTGAGTGAAACGTAACCAGGGTGGGGTGGGTATTTCCTCCTTCCATATTTGGTGGTCTGTGTACTTCCATCTACCCAGGTACTTAAGGCCGAGGTCTCTCAAGTAGTCATGGGTTTGTTAGACCTCTCATGGAAGAGACCTACCTGGGTCCTTGGCTTCATGGGAGAAAGAATTCACACCGAAGCCTGGTTTGTGGGTAGAAGCCGTTTCGGGGTTACAGTAAATGGAACACCAGCCAGCCAGCATCCCTAGCACGTACTTGGCCCAGCCATGTGGGATGTGCAGCGTGCCAGGGCTGAACTGCGTGTCACAGCTGCTGGGAGAGCAAACTTCTGGCTTTTCAGGCCCTTCCGCCCCGCCCATCTGTTGGGAGGCATGGTCAACAATACTGGTCGACCCCATTGGCTGAATTAAATTCAAGTGGCCTAGATGGGCCAATCCAGGTGTACCACTCACCTAGGTGTACCACCCCTTCCTGGGTGGGAGCCTGAAGGTAATCCTGCACTCCAGCCCCTATGGCTGGCCTGGCTGGTCTGATTCTCTGCAGCAAGCTCAGAGAGGGACAACTCCCTATCTGGCTACCTAACAGGTTCTTCTCTGCATCCTTCAGGGCAGGCTAGGAGCTATTGTTCTGCAGCAGTAACACAGGATTCCAGAACCTCTGTGGCTTTTAAAACTGCGTCCACCTTCTGACTGCTGGTGCTGGAGCCTCTGCTCTGTATCCAGATGGCTGCAATCACTTCTATATGAAACACTGGCTGTCTTGTTGTAGAGGGTGAGCCACACACCTGGTTCTAAAGCTTCCTTTAAAAAAAAATCATTTTATTGGGGGCTCGTACAACTCTTATCACAATCCATCCATCTGTCCATTGTGTGTCAAGCACATTTGAACATTTGTTGCCATCATCATTCTCAAAACATTGCTACTGGAGCCCTTGGTATCAGCTCCTCATTTCTCCCTCCCCGCTCCCTCCTCACTCATGAACCCTTGATAATTTATAAATTATTTTGTCATATCTTACCCTGTCTGAAGTCTCCCTTCACCCACTTTTCTGTTGTCCACCCCCAAAGGAGGAGGTTATATGTAGATCTTTGTAATCTGTTCCCCCTTTCTCCCCCACCTTCCCTCCACCCTCCTGGTATTGCCACTCTCACCACTGGTCCTGAAGGGTTCCTGGATTCACTGTGTTTCCAGTTCCTATCTGTACCAGTATATATGCTCTGGTCTAGCCGGATTTGTAAAGTAGAATTGGGATCATGATTGGGGGGCGGGGTGTGTGTGGAGGAAGCATTTAAGAACTAGAGGAAATTTGTATGTTTCATCATTG